ATTTGCATGTGTCATGTACTCTTTTCCTCGACTATTTTTTTCCCACTGGGTTTTGTAGCGTGGTTTTTAACGAGGCATGAACATGATGCGGTAATGTCCAAGGGGGAGTGTGTAAATATTAAGTTGTGGACATTACCTAGATATAGGATTTGTAGGCATGGGCCAGGAGCCCATTAGGTATTTACTCATGTACATTATATTCCCTTATATATAGGGCTCAAGTGAATGAATAAGAGGAGGGGTTTTTAACGGCGTATCTCTTCTCTCTTATTCTCTTCTTCTTCTACTGTTTCTATCTTTGTCTATTTTACACATAGATTTTACATATTGTCAATCTATATTACTAACACTTAATTGTATTTCGCGTGCTTAAGTTTTTTATTTGCTAAGTGTCCAATTTGTTTTATTAAATGTTTAAGTTTCTTTTACGTGCCTAGGTGTACTTTGAGATCAATTTTAATTTTGGTGATTGATGTGCCTAAGCGATTTATTTGATTATGTACTTAAGTGACCATTTTAATTGCCCAAGTGTTAATTTAATTGCTGTATGTTCAATTTATATTTTGTACCTAAGTGCCTAATTTTAATTTGGGTTGATTGCTAAATAAACCATAACCTTTTTGCGTTTGGCAATTTTATCACAATCTTTAGGTAATTGCAATATAATCTCGATCTCAATTTACTAATTGCAATCCCAATCTCGGACCTTCAAAAAACTGGTCGATTTGAAGGTGGTTCAAACAGATCGGAGCTCATATTTACCGGTTCACTCCAGATCTAGGAAGAGACTCATCACCGGTAGCTTACATCGACGTGGAATTTTCGGCTTTGTGCGTGGATATACATTAAATACGTGGAAATTGTCAACTTGCTACGTTGATGGCATAAAAACTCGTGTCAGTTGAAGACATGAACACAAAATCGACCCACAAATCCCGAAAATCAATCACTCAGCACCTAAATTTGCAATAAGTAAATTGAGGTCGAGATTATATTGCAATTACCCAAAGATTGAGATAAAATTGCCAAACGCAAAAAGTATTTGTATATATGTTTGTATAAGTATTTATATTGCCTATTTTTTTCCTAAGCATTTGTATATATGTTTGTATGTTTTCTCGGCCCAATTTTTTAAATTGCTTAAGTATTAGAATATCCGGCCCAATAATTATCTTATTGTTGGCCCAAGCAAGTTCCTCTCACCCATATCAAGCAGCCCACCAACTTTGGCCCAAAAGAAGACTTGGTCTAAACCAAGTTAGCAACACCCACGTTCTCATCATCTCCAATTCTTCACCTTCTCCAGCCGCCCCTAGTGCCCTAACCACCAGCACCAAAATCGGCCTTCTCCCTCACGTCGCCACAAAAATGGCAGCCCTAATTCTTCTCTATTTCAAGCCAAGACTCCCTATTTAAAGATCGATACACCAGCCGCCTCTCATCTTTTTCGATCCCGTCCAAAACCCCTAAAAAATCTCCTCGGCCAACATCCATTTCCGGCGAGAAGACGAACGACGGCGAGCACCAGTACACGACGGCTGGAATAGATCCACGGCCGCAGCAGACCAGGCCCTTTTAGTCGCAGCTGAAACCCAAACTTTCGAGAGTCACCAGTTTGACGGCTGAGGGTTGGCCTTTCTGTGACCGAGTTTGCAGGTTTGCTTTCCAACTTTTTCTTCTTCTTCTTCTTTTTTTTTTTTTTGTTCTTTTTGTGATTTTGGATATTTTTAGATTTGTTTTTGTGTTGTGATTTGGAGGATCTTACTGAATATGTCATGTGGTTGGATATTCCATTGGTTTTTGGTTTGGTGATGGGGATGTGGATGAGTTTCTCCTATATATGTATATTCTACAGTGCATGATTTGTCAAACACACACAATGTGTGAGGCTTGGGAAGTCTATTACAACATAATTGATTCTTGAATTAGCTATGAAAACTAGATATATATGGATAAACAGCAATTTAGCAGCTAAAAATCACTTTCATCTTCACAGTATAGTTAGACCCTTTCCATGATTTTAAGATACTGATAAAGAATTACATGATTTTAAGATTTTCGAATAAAAAAGTTGCTTTCAGATAACTAGATAGTTGAGGGAAATTTACTGCGAACCATCTTAAGAGAAATTGGATTTTTGCTGCATCATGGCCTTGATGTTGTCCAAGACATGTATGAATCCATGAGAGAGCCCGAATCGAATTGTGTCAATTGGCATTCTTCCATCTGGATTCCGTTTTAAAGAACACTCAGAAGTGACTGGAGTAGACCTAACATTAATGAGTTTTTACATTTCTAGATTAATCCGGGAAATCATTGATGTTATATGCCCCACCCCAAAAATAAAACTCGAAAATGGAACTTTCCGGATAATCTCCCCCACCCCAAAAATAAAATAAATAAATAAATAAATAAAATAAGTAAATAAATAAATTTTCTAACTTGGACTCATTAAAGTGGACTAGCACAGTGCATGGATCCATTACATGCTATCTTTGTAGCATAGTTCTACAATGTTGTAAGTTGGTTTACCTGTATTTAGACTTTGAGTTACTGTATCCACACCCGGACTTTTGGCACAATATTCTATGAAACTATTGACTGCTCCATGTTGGTTATTTATCTTTCTATGTTACCTAAAAAATGTTCTTTCAATTGGCAGCATTAGCATCAAGACCATTACTGGTTTTTATGTTACTTTGTTAATGTTTCTAGATACGTAGTAACTAGCACTCTAGGCACTAAGTGTGTATATGTAGAGAATTAGAGATACATTGGTTCAATGATACTTTATAGTTGTATATGTAGAGAATTAGAGATACATTGGTTCAATGATACTTTATAGTGTATTTTTGTTTTGTTGTGCACTTCTATCCCTCGTAGTAGTTTTCTTTCTTTCTTTATATGTTAGTTGCTTGATATTTGATACGTGTATGGATATTCATTTCTTTTTGTTCTTACTTTTATTTTGCTTGTTGGGTTCTCATCTAATGCTTTTAATTTAGCATAGTTCCGTTTTGTTCAATTGGGTGTGCACACTCCAATATTTTGTACACATTCCTGTGTACAACTTAAAAAGCTTGCGGTATTTATGTTTGTGAAAATGTTTACCTTGCGGGATTACCTGGAGAATATTTTGCATTTGATATCCAGGTTAGCTGTTATGAACAGCCACCTGTATCGGTATACTGCCACTTTTGTTGTGTCCTGTGCATGCTGCAGAATTATTGCTCGGTACTTGTAATTAAATTGAGTTAGATGCAAAGCATTATGTACCTTCCACCGCTGCATTTTATGTGTTGTGTAAGACGTATGTCTTTCCAAGAATTACATACCCTGCTTTATATTGCCACACCGATTTCAATTGTTCAACTTTGTAGCAATCTGCCAGCTGCTGGATCATTTTACAACTTACAATCATAATTATGATAAGGAGAATTATTTCCTTTCTTATTATTATATCTATTTATCTTTATGGAGTTGTCTTTTTCTTTCAATATTTTGTCCATCTTTAGGTTTTGATCTAACAACATCTCTTAAGCTGAAGCTGAATCTTCATTTTACAACTTACAATCATAATTTTGATAAGGAGAATTATTTCCTTTCTTATTAATATATCTATTTAGTCTTTTTCTTTCAATATTTCGTCCATCTTTAGCTTTTGATCTTACTACATCTCTTAAGCTGAAGCTGAATCTGGTGTTGGAATATGCAAAATTATCACATCTTATGTTTCTGTTTAGTTATATAATTGTGTGCTATCATAGAAAATTAACTAAGAAATTGTGTGCTATTCAAGAAATAAATTGTTATATTGTGTGTACTTGATAACTTCACAGAATTTGATTAATGTGATTTTAGCTTTGAATTTATTTGGTGTTTAGATGACAACCCCTATTGAAAAGAACCTTGAAGGAAGTGAACAAGGTGAAAAAGATAGCAAAGGAGGTAGAGTTTATTGGTCCAAAGAATTAATATACCTCCTTTGTGATCTTTGTATCGAATATGCTGAAAGGAATAAGGGAAAAAGTGGAGCTGTCACAGGTCAAAGATTGGCGTGGAAAAAGGTGGAATCTGAGTTTAAAAAAAGAACTAGCTTGCCATGTGATAAAAATAAATTAAAAAATAAAGTGGATTGGATGAGAACTAGGTGGAGTCTGTGGAAACAATTGAAAGACAAGGAGACCGGACTAGGCTGGGATCATATGAAAGGTACGATTGATGCTACAGATGAATGGTGGGCTTTGAAAATTAAGGTTGGTTTACTTTTAAGTTTTCTATTTACTTGGTTCCCATTTATAAAGACTGTAAATCTTAGTTATATATTTTCACGTGTTATGTTTAGGAAAACTCCAAGTATGAAGTGTTCCGAGAAGAAGGGATCGAGATAGAACTTGAGTGTAAAATGGATCAAATTTTTGCTATTTCTGCTCAAGGAAAACTTAAATTTACTCCAGTATCAAGTTCACAACAAAAACATGTGATGCAAGAAGTTGATGAGGTGTACGTTCCTTCTCCATTACATGAGAGCTGCAATGATAACTATGGTGGTGACAATTGTTGTGTGGCAGATGAATCATGGGATGGGGTATGGACAAAGATTAGCCCGACATGCACATCTACCCCTATCGCTTCTCCTGGTAACATACAAATTGAAGCTAATGATGGGAGAAAAGGTAAGAGGTCTTTTGTTGGGGACTTCTCACAAAGTAGTAAGGCTACAAGAAACTCAGGTAAGAGAGCAAGGGTTGCCGCAATTCAAGAAATGCTTGGAGGAATTATGCAAACAATTTCAAAAAGAAATCATTTAACAGAGGAAATTACTACTTCAATGAAGAATATGATGAGTTTGCACATGGATATAGTGAAGTCAATGAAGGAAAAGTCTTACTATGATCTTAGGGATACTATGGCGAAATTATGTACTCTTTCAGATTTGACGGCTACTTCGCCAGAGTTTTTCTTTGCTTGCACGATGTTCGAAGATCCACAAAAAAGAATTATCTTTTTTGGATTGCCTGATGATAACAGTAGGGTTGAATACATTAAGTACATGTATAAGGAGCATAAGAAAAACAGATAGTTAAGTTTATTTTGTCTTTACTTTTTACTTTTTGATTTTATGCTTCTGAATGATGTGTTCCTTTTATTTCGTAGACGTAGTTTTGGGTTATATGATAATGTTGGATGTTTATCTATTGATGGTTTAATTTGGTATTTGTACTTTCCACAATTAACTTTGTTAATCTATGAAGTTAGTTTTGTAAAATTGATATAATTTTTTCATTCTAAGTTTTGTAGGCATGGAAAGTAATGACGTTAAAATTAGGCAACTTCTTTGATATGAACAACAATATCTTCAATACCTAGAGTACTTGAAAGAAGAAAATGAATTTTGGGATGTGATGACTTGTGCTACAGGTTATGGTATTTTTTGAATCATATATATAAGGAGCCTTGCTGACATCATTTTTAACAAGAAAAAGATGGATAAATGAATTTTTGAGAGGCCATAAAGAATGATGTTTTAATGCCCTTTTGCCAATTATGTTTAGATTTATAGAATAGATACAGTTTAAGATCATCAAATAGGATGTCAGTATTAGAGAAAGTGGGGTTATTTGTATATTTATTTAGTAAGGGTGCTTCTCTTAGAGATACTCAAGAGCACTTTTAACATTATGGTGAAACCGTGAGTAGAATTTTCAAATAAGTTTTAGATTGTTTGGATAGCTTTTCAAGAAATATACTTGTACCGAAAGATCCCGAGTTCAATGATATCCCAACACATATTTCCAATGATGAGAGATATATGCCACATTTAAGATAACATTTTTTGTTGCTTTCTCAACTTTTTTTTTTTGGCTATTGAAGATGATGATAATATAATTTTTATTATATCATATTAGGATTGTATTGGAGCTATTGATGGTACACATATTGCGATAACCGTACCTAAAGAGGTTCAAATTCGTTATATGGGAAGAAAAGGGATACCGACTACAAATATTTTAGCAGTGTGTGATTTTGATTTGTTGTTCACATACGTTTAACAGGATGGGAGGGATCAACACATGATTCTCGTATTTTCCTAGATACAATCAATGATTCAAATCTCAATTTTTCCAAACCTCCATCAGGTATATCTTGTACTTATCATTTATATGCACTGTTGCACACGCACACACACACACATGCCTTCGATATAATTTAATTCTAGTATAACTTGTGTACGTTTAGGTAAATATTACTGAGAAGATAAAGGCTACCCTGGAAGAGAAGGTTATTTAACGTCTTGCACCAAGACAAGATATTATCAGTATGAGGTTCGTAGTTCAAACCCGAGGGATCTCAAGAGGTTTTTAATCGGGCTCATTCATCTTTAAGAAGTTGCATTGAAAGGGCTTTTGGTGTTCTTCAGGCTCGATGGAAGATACTCCATAAAATGCCAAAATATTCGTTTATGGATCAAAATAAAATCATTTGTTCATGTTTTGCACTTTATAATTATATTAGAAGAATCACAATTTGTGATCCGGGCTTTCGAGTTATTGATGTGAATCCTGAATTCATACCTCCTTAGATGTTGAAAATAATTCTGCACAAGGTGATGGGGAATTGATGACTCGAGAGATGACAAACGTTCGTAATGATATAGCTTCAAGTTTGATGACATCAAGACGTCATTCTTAGAGCATTTGTTTTTTTTTCTTTACTTTTATTTTTGCTTTTCAATAATAATAGCAGATGTCGCAATTGAGTACATTATATTTCTATTAGTATGATTTATTGTTGGCTTTGTTTATATGACATCAACTTATTTACTCGATTATGAAATATTTTCATTTTATTATTCAACATCAACATCAACATACCCAGTATATTCTCAAACAGGTTGGGGTCTGGGGGGTCAGTTGTACGCAGACCTTACCCTTGTAATTATACAAGGAGGCTGTTTCCATAGCGACCCAAGGTGCGTTGCGTCGTTTGATATATTTTTTTCTAGAAACTTCACTAATAGAAGAAGCACTAGAATTTAATTGAGCCATTTTGATCTAGTCCATTTTGCACGATGCCAGAAGAATTGTCAACATTGACTCTTCCAGCTCCATTTGCAATGGACTCATTTTCATTTTATTATTATTTATATTTTTTTATTATATGTACATCACTTTTATAAATATTTAAAATATTAATTATTTTTATTTCCTACATAATTATAGGTTCAAAATAAATTAGAATGATAAAAGTATATTGATTTTCTTATAATTAATTTTACATGTTAACAACTAATTAAAAAAAAGCTAATTTTACCAAATATTTTTTTATAAACCGTTAACACGATCAGCTGGTCAAAATAGCTATTGCAATCTGCTGGCCAAAACAGCTAATACAATCAGCTAACAACGAACAACTCACGGCTGATTACCAAACAAGGCTAATGTGTCATTTTCCTGAGTTTAGATTCAGTTTCTTTGACCTTAAAAATTTGAGGTTGGTTTTGAGAGAAAAAGGGAAGAGTAGAGAACCCTGCACTTGAGTTGCTATGATATGTTTTAGCTATTTTCTTACTCAATCGTACGTATCCCTGAAGTATTTATTTTTGGTGCCATGTTTCGTGTTGATTTTTGTTGCCTTATTTTTTGGTGCTGTGTATGTGTATTGTTGTACCTTAAATTGTTGTGTATGTTTTGAACTCTTGTCAATTTTGTTTTACATGTTCTACTAGTACAACACCCGTGTATTATACGGGTACTTGCTAATTTTTTTCTTAAAATCTAAAATTAATGAGAAAAAGTAGTTTAAAAATTTAAATACATTTTATAAGAATATATATATTATTATATATTTATTATGACACTTTTTATTTGTGCAACTTACTTGTGTTATATTATACTAATTTTTTTTTTAACTTGCAATATATATAATTACATTACATATAAATATATCAATTGAGAAATAATTTTATTTTTCTAATGAATTTTAATAAATATTATTATTTTTTATTATTATAAAGATAAATACAATTTATTTATTTCATATATACAATATGGATGTCAAATCGAAGATCATCAAAAGATGATTAATTTGAAATATTATATATGTAAAACCGATAAGAAATACAAAAGTTATCAACTTTTAAAAATATATTTATAATTCAATAGCTTATTGAAAGAAACAAATCAAAATTCAAGGATATATTAGTCACTTAATGCCTCACTATGTAAAATTACAAAGAATTAAAGGGTTATATTAGTAAAAGTGATATTAAAATACCTAAGTTAGCTAAATAATATTTATGGAATACCCGAACCTAGATTATTAATTTATTATTAATTAATATATCAATATTATTTATCCAAACCTAATTACGAAGCATGATTCTTCGCCAAATAGGATTCCGAAGCACCAGAAGCAGCCATGTAGGCTCAGCGAATTCGGAAATTATATATAGGGAGGATGTGCCATTTTGTGTGTTTATGGTTAGAGTTTTTAAGACTAGTAAGTTGGCCCCTTTTGAGTAGGGATGTCAATAAAACCCATAAGGTCGGGTTAATACCTGCGGGTTACCCGCATTTTTGGGTCGGGTGAACCCGTGATGATTGGGTTTCGGGTCGGGTTAGGGTGGAATTATGCTACCCGAACCCCGGGTGGGTCGAGTGCGGGTATTGTAGGCAAACTCATTACCCGACCCGATTACCCAACCCGTTTACCCGCAACCAATGAATCATATTTACGTACATACATATACACACACACACACACATATATATATATATATATATATTTATAACTTATAATAAATATAAAAGTAGTCATGTGTTATTTTTAAAAATTAGATTATATATTATAATTTTGATTAATGGTTAAATTTATTTTATTTTTTATAATTTTATTATCATTTTTTGTTAATTGTATAATAAAAAAAATATTTAATTTTCAATGTTATAATATTAAATAAACTATAAAAGATAAATAATCATATCTCATTATTTATTCCAAAAACAATATATTTTTTTTATAGTTTTTATTGTCAAACTTAGTTAATAAATTATATCTTACATTATAATTTATTGTGAAATTATTTTATTTTATTTTTTTCATATGAAATTTTGAGTTAGAAGTGGGAAGAGGAAAGAAAGAAAAACGTAGTGCCTTAGGGATCGATTGTTTATAAGTTAATGTACTCACATTTATTTCATACTCAAAATCCAATTCAATTTAACTCAACCCACTATCTTTAATATTATTCATATAATTAAATAATACAAATCAATCATTCTTACATATCACATCAACTTTAATTTATTTTCATCAACTCACATAATTATAACTACATATCATTCACAATCATTTACCTCATACTTTTACACAAATCAATTTTAATCATTTTATTTTAAATATTATTTTAATACATTCTTAAAATCTCACGAACAACTAACTATACCATATTTTTCAAGATTAACTATGGTTAACCAAAATAACACATTTTGAGAAAATTATTTGATTAACAAGCGCGCCCTTAAGCTTTGGGTTTGGATGTTTTGATTTATCAGATTATTTTGCATGAGTTTATGCTTTGTTTCTGAGTAAGAATAGTTGAGTTAGCAGTTGGGAAGCAAGTTCCCATAAGCACTTAAGTTAGCTAACTTAAGTTGAGACCAAATGAGATAAACAATTTCAATAAAGTTAAGATTTAATAGAAGAGTTAGAAAAATTTATGTGTTTTAATTGCTTTTAATTGTCTTAATTGTCTTGTTTGTCTTATGTGTTTAATCGTCATTGCTTGACCTTAGTTGTCCTTGCCTATTTTCAGCTTTAGTAATAAGAAGAAAAATGTTTTAAATCGTAGATTTCGAGGAGTCGAATCTCGAGAGTTGTTCCGGGTGACGTCAGCTACTCTTCATCTGCACTTTTTCCTCACGTCATCAGTTATCAGGTAGGGGATCTATACTATGGTTTATTCTGTATAAACATGCGGTAGTATAGTTTTTTATATGTATGTGATTGTGGGCCGGTGGGTCCAATGTGCTTGTGAGAATTTACCTGGAGGCTTGAAATATCAATAAACAGGGTAATTAT